TGTGACGAAAAACCTGCGCCCGAGCCCACCCTTCCTCCCACAGCTCGGAATTATTGTAATTTAGATATGGAATTGAGAAGTTATGATCGTAGCTCTTAGCTCGATACCGTTTTCTAAAGTTAATTTCGTGAAGAATATTTAGAAAACGGCATCGATTACCGGGTCACACCACGTCCACGAGGAGGTGGCTACGTTAAAAAGTGACCCACCCTAACTCCAAATCCCTACCACCCTCCATTTGCAAATCGCTCATTTATCGGAAGGGTAAATGAGTTCTGACTCTACTTAGCTCATAGGCTCGCATATACAAGTTCTTTACCACAATGCAGCAAAGAATTTGTATCACACACACGCACACATGCATTAACTTAATACTAGGCGCATGGGTACCCACACACATAAGAAAGTTAAGTAAAAAAGCAAAGGGGTAGAAAAGAAAGTTAGAAGAACTTTCTGTTAAAAACACAATGAAAATTACGAATTTAAAATCAATCAACAATAAAACAATGTATACAAAATTAATTCCTGAAACAGAGAAAAATAATTAACACATAAAATTGGGAGAAATTAAAATCGCGAAGGGATATAAAAATCGCGAATCTCAATATATAATCGCGAAGGGATATGAAATTTCTAATTTCGTAATAAAATTGCAAAGGGATATAAAAATCTCGAATCGCAAAGGGGTATGCAAATCTCTAATCTCAAAATTTAATTGCAAAGTTATACAAAAATCTCTAATCGCGAAATTTAATAGGGAGGGCATAAAAATCTCTAATCGCGAAATTTAATAGGGAGGGCATAAAAATCAGCTCGGAATTAAAAAACTAATGCATTGAACAGAACTTACCAAAAATTACGTTCTGAAACAGACAAAAGTAATTAAGACAAATATGAATGATTTCAATACTTACATGAAATAAAAATCTGAAACAGACAAAACTTATTAAGACAAATATAAATTATTTCATTACTTACTTAAAATTGAATTCTGAAACAGACAAAATTTTATTAACACAGAAAATGGTGGGAGAGGGAGCAAGATTTTTCTTTATTTCATACAAGAATTTGAAAAAACACAAAACGCAATGAAAATTGCGGATTTCAGAAGAGAGAACAACACAACTTAGCAAAAAATAAAATCTGAAACATACAAAACTTTATTAATCTATAAAATTGTACGAAAAGAAGTGAAACAACCCTACCGAAAAACAAGAAACACAATGAAAATTACGAATTTAAAATCAATCAACAATAAAACAATGTATACAAAATTAATTCCTGAAACAGAGAAAAATAATTAACACATAAAATTGGGAGAAATTAAAATCGCGAAGGGATATAAAAATCGCGAATCTCAATATATAATCGCGAAGGGATATGAAATTATAGGGAGGGCATAAAAATCTCTAATCGCGAAATTTAATAGGGAGGGCATAAAAATCTCTAATCGCGAAATTTAATAGGGAGGGCATAAAAATCTCTAATCGCGAAATTTAATAGGGAGGGCATAAAAATCTCTAATCGCGAAATTTAATAGGGAGGGCATAAAAATCTCTAATCGCGAAATTTAATAGGGAGGGCATAAAAATCTCTAATCGCGAAATTTAATAGGGAGGGCATAAAAATCTCGTATCGCGAATAAAATCGCGAGTGGCTTTGCTCGTTTGAGCAAAACTTGACGATACATTTTGTATCGTTCAAAAAACACATGTAAAATACAAGAAAATAGTAGCGAGCATAGTGACAGAATGACTGTCCATCCTAAGATCTTAGGATGGACATTCATTAATAGTTCCCCTCTTCTTTGGCAACTTTTGCCGGGGCTCTTCGGCATATAGCCTCTTCTCTCTTCGGCAAAGCCTCACAAAAATCACTCGCGAATTTTTACGGTAACTCGGACATTCTTATTTTTCACATAAAATTTCAATTTCGCTATCAATCTCCATAAACAGATAGCAAACAATTTTATAGAAATAAAATTGCACCACTATCCATTTATTTCGATCGATAACAAAATC